GAACCACTGGATAAAAAGGCAGTTCCATTTATAATTTTTTGAGCAAATTCCATATTATTTTCCACAGTGGCTGCACCAATCTGCATTCCCATCAGAAGTACACTAGGATTCCCTTTTTTCCACATCCTTGCCAGCACTTGTTGTCTGTTGATTTATTAATGATAGCCATTCTGACAGCTGTGAGATGTTATCTCATTGTGGTTTTAATTTGCATCTCTCTAATGGTTAGTGATGTTGAGCATCTTTCCATATGTCTGTTGGTCATCTCTATGTCCTCTTAGGAAAAGTATGTAGTCAGGTCTTTTGCCCACTTTTTAATTGGATTGTTTGTCTTTCTGGTGTTCTTTATACATTTTGGAAAGTAACCCCTTATCAGATGTATCATTGGCAAATATGTTCTCTCATACAGTGCATTCTATTTTCATTTTGTTGATGGTTTCTTTTGCTGTGCAGAGCTTTTTAGTTTGATGTAGTCCCATTCGTTGTTGTTTTTTTTTCCTTTTGTTTTCATTGCTCTCAAAGACGTAGCAGCAAAAATATTGCTACGAGAGATAGCTGAGATTTTATTGCCTGTGTTTTCTCCTAGGATTGTTATGGTTTTGCAACTCAAGTTTTTATCCATATTGAGTTTATTCTTGTATATGGTATAAGTTGGTGGTCGTGTATTTTTTTTAAATATGTATCTGTCCAGTTTTACCAGTACCATTTATTGAAGAGACTGTCTTTACTCCATTGTAAGCTCTTGCCTCCTTTGTCAAATATTGACCATATAGGCATGGGTTGATTTCTGGGCTTTCTGTTCTGTTCCATTGATCTATATGCCTGATCTTACACCAGTACCAGTCTGTTTTAATTACAATGGCTTTTTAATGTAGTTTGATATCAGATATCGTGATCCCTCCTACTTTGTTCTTTCTCAAGATTGCTGAGGTTATTCAGAGTCTTTTTTGGTTCCATATAAATTTTTGGAATATTTATTCTAGATCTGTGAAATATGCTGTTGATATTTTAATAGGAATTGCATTAAATCTATAGATTGCTTTGGGTAGTGTGGACATTTTAATGATGTTAATTCTTTCAGTCCATGAACTTCCACTTGTATCTTCCACAGTTTCTTCTTCAGTGTCCAGTAGTTTTCTGAGTACAGGTCTTTTACCTACCTCCTTGGTTAAATTTATTTCTAGGTACTTGTTGTTGTTGCAGTAGTAAATGGGACTGTTTTCTTAGTTTCTCTTTCTGATAGTTTTTTATTTGTGTATATAAATGCTACTGATTTCTGAATATTAATTTTGTGTCCTGCTATTAATATTTTGCCAAATTTGTTTATTAGATCTAGTAGCCATTTGGTGGAGTCTTTAAGGTTATTTTTTTGTACAATGTAATGTCATCTGTGAATAATGACAGTTTTACTTCTTCTTTTCCAGTTTTGATGCCTTCTGTTTCTTTTTCTTGTCTGATTGCTGTGGCTAGAACTTTCAGAAATGCTTTGTTCTTTAAAGTCTGCAGAGCTATATCTAATATGACTATTTAGTGCCTCAGTGCTTTTAATATTCCTTTTTTTGTCTTTTATTATGTACTTTCTCTACTTTTGCCTCCTACTGGTCTTTAGTGTCAGACTGAGGCCCATTGGCATACACTACTTTCTTATTTGAAGCCAATGGCATACACTATATTTTCTAAGACATATAATACTATGAAAAGTATAAGAAAATAACTCCATGATAAGAGGACATCTGGCATAAAAACTGTTTAGGATTATCCCTATTACAGCCAAGTTTATGCAGAGCATTTAGCAGTAGCAGTCTAAGTACGCACATAGCAAGGCAATTGTTGTCTCGTGACTAGGAACTTCACCTTTCAGGAAGCATACATCTCGCTCTGGGAGGACCTATGAGAACCTCGATTTCCAGAGTCAGGAGAGAGGTCAAAGATCAGCCACTTCAATTCCTATATGCTGAGTCTCAATCTGTCTTCCTCCTCCTTTGTGTTTTCTATAGCCCTCTACCTCTGACAATTTGGGAAAGTCTAAGCTATAGCATAGGTAAATTAATAACAATGCCCTGGCTGGTGTGGCTTAGTGGGTTGAGTGCCAGCCTGTGAACCAAAAGGTCACTGGTTTGATTCCCAGTCAGGGTACATGCCTGGAATGTGGGCCAGGTCCTCAGTTGAGGGCATGTGAGAGGCAATTGATCAATTGATCAATGTATCTCTTACACATCGATGTTTCTCTCCCTCTCTTTCTCCCTCCCTTTCCCCCTCTCTAAAAATAAATAAAATATTTTTCAAAATAAATTAACAACAAAAATATGACCAAAATAAAAATTGTCAGGTTTTATAATTATGTCTTTTCCAGTTCCTTTTATCTTTTTAGTTTCCTTTTGTACATTTATTATTTTTTTTCTTTGGGACTAAATTAAAGCTAGGGTTTTATGAACCTTTCAGTAAATATCATTAGAAATAAACATTTATCCTTGAAATGTTTTTAGAGTAACTGTGGGTTCTGTGCCCACAATTCCAACATGGAATATTTTGGTTTGTTTTTCCATACCACCAAGCAGTTCTTTGATATCAACTGGATATCCTACAATTCAAATCACCTCTGACACTCTCTACCCAGAGGTAGATAGTATTTGATTCCACAGGTTAAGGACTCAGCCCTACAAGACTGTTCTCCACTTCAGATGCCAGTTTTAAGTCCTGGTTGTCACCTGGCCTTCTGATTGGCTGGCTATAAGTCAGAGGTTCCCACAACTCCCTCCTTGGGTTCAATTAATTTTCTAGAACAGTTCTAGGACTCAGGAAACCAACTTTGTCACTAGATTACTGGTTTATTACAAAGGATATAACTCAGGAACACCAGATGGACAGGATGCATAAGGGGAGGTATGGGGAAAGGCTACAGAACTTCCATGCCCTCTCTAAGGGCACCACTCTGTCAGCACTACCTCATGTTTACTAACCCAGGAGCTCTCAGAACCCTGTCATTTTGAGGTTTTGTAGAGGCTTCATTACATAGGTATGATGATTATATCATTGACCATTGGTGATTGATTCAACCTCTCTCCCTCTTTTCCCTTCTCTGGAAGCCAGAGAGGTGAGACCGTAATTGTGTTTTATAACTATGTCTTTTCCAATTCCCTCGAATCACACAGTGGGTTCTTCTGGTGATGAACTCTTATCTTTTGGTGCTTTCCAAAAGTCACCTCATTAACATATAAACCAAGTTGTATAGGAAGGAGGCTTGTTAAGAATAATAAGACACTCATTTCACTTTCATGGCCCTGAAGTAATTTCAGGAACTGAGGACCAGACCAAACGTTAGAACAAAATATCCTCTCATTTCTTTTATCTCTTAGGAAATTCCAATGGTTTTGGAAGCCAAAATCCAGGAACTGTGGACAAAGACCAAATATATATATGAGGAATATATTTTGATCATTTGAATTTCCAATATATATATCTTTCAGATACCAATATTATACTCACATATAAGGCATTGTATTAGATATAATAATGACCTATTAGAGTGTGGGTGAAAGAGAGACAAATCAATTAAGTAACCAGAAATAGTAATAAACTTATAATTGATAGCATTTGACTCTTTTCTTGTTGAGACTGTTCTTTAGGCATCTAGAACACCACACACTTGGTTTTCCTACCTCTCTGGTCACTCCGTGCTTTCCATTGCTGAGTCCTTTTCTTCTTTTCATCTAAATATTGGAGTGTCCTAGGCCTTAGCTCTTGGGCCTCTTTGCTGCCTACTTGCCTTGGGTTATATCGTTCATCCTATGGCTTTATGTACTACCGATTAATATCTATATGCTGGTGACTGTCAATTTGTATCCTTATTCCTTCCTAAACTACATAAAATTTTCAGTATTACTATCCTCAAACTCACTACTTTTCGTCTTAGTAAAGGGCGCCGCCATTTACCCAGTGGCTCAGGACGGAGATGTAAATTATACTTTATTCTTGTTTTACCTTAATAGTTTTATCAGCAAGTTTTGTTGGCTGTATACATTATATCCACATCCCACCACTTTTTATCACCACCACTGTTACCATTTTGGTTCAACTTCAGTAACCTCCTAACTGATCATCTGTTCGTAGCACCTTCATCCCCTCCGTTGTTTATGGCATCTATTCTCCACTTAATAGGCAGAGTAATCTTTTTAAAGTCTAAAACAGACCTTCTCAAAATCCTTCAAAAAGGAAGCGCTGATTTTAGGTCTGGGGTGGGAAATGTACAAGATAAATCTCTGGGGATAAGATAGCAGAGTAAGAGAAATGATGAGGAGAGAATGAGGCCCTAATCATAAAATTGAAAATGGTGCATACTGTCAGAAACAGTAAAGAAGGGTCTTTATGAGTTTTTTTTCCAAGATCACATCACTTTTGGAATTTAAAGGCAAAAATAACTGAATTTATATATACTATCAAATAATAGGGCAGATATTTTTTTGATAATTGTGTGTACACATACACATACACAGTTTAAGAATTTTTCAGACTCACAAAAAAATTGGAAAAAAGCACAGTGAACTTCTGTATATCCTGTAATGTAGACATACCAGCTATTAACACGGGTCACTTAAGTGGAACCACATAAAAATTACCCCTTTTGACCAAAAAAAAAAAAAAAAAAAGTCACAAAGATGGTTGAAACTGAAAACACACATATACATACAACATATATTACCTGTTGCTAAACCATCTGAAAGTAGGCTTTATACATAATACTTCATTATATATCTTCCAAGAACAAAGACACTCCTCTGTGTCACTACAAACCAGTTGAGGCACTGGTTTGTAGTGAAGAAAAATTAATATTAATCAGTATCGTCATCCACATATAGTTCTCATTCAAATTCCCTTCTTTGTATCATCAGGTTAAAAAAAACCTACAAAACTAATTTTTTAGGCTGGGGTACTTTCTTTTAAAGAATAAAGTGACTTTGTTTACTGTTGGCTTACTCTAGTTTTTTTTCTTTGTGGTTTAGCTTCTTACATCCGTGTTTGACAACAGCATCAAAACCTTTGGAGTAACTGAGAGTGACCCGTTTGACTGGGAGAAGACCGGAACTGATGGCTCCCTAACAACCACCACTACTTCTACCACCCCTCAGTTGCACACCCGCTTGACCCCTGCGGCAATCGGGTATGTCCTCAGCAGCCCACTTAGCAGTCTTTCCTGGATACATTATATTAGCAAAAATTTTTTCATCCAGATTCCCTCAGATGACCAAATGCCACGATATAGGTGAAAGCTTTTGGATTTTCTTGAATTAACATTGCTGTCATATATGCCTTTGTTCAGGTTTACTTTTCTTAGAAAGTGCTTATAGATCATACTGAGATGGGAGCTTAGAGCTGTGTGCCTTGTTGATGTCAGATTTACAGTGGGTTTTCTCATCTTCAAAATGAGAAGCATTTGTTGCATATACTTCTAAAGAATATAGGGGATCCTGGACAGAATGAGCCACAATTGTACGTAGTTATACTGTGCTTAAGTTTGGTGGGAACAAAACATGTAACTTGTTTCTCTTAAGAGAGTGATTTAATTTTCAGTGTATTAGGCACACGTTATGGTGAAATTCCATCTTCCTGGGTTTTTGTTTTGTTTTCTCTACATGCATAAATAGTTGCTTTTGGGGAGGCGGGTTATCTTTTATCCTGACCCATTTTTTGTTTTTTTACCTGCTTTGGTTACTTTAAACTGTTTGGTTTTTAAAAAAATAAATAGGAAAAATCCTCATACAATGTGAGCTCATTGAAACATTTTATCACTAATCCATTGCTTTGATTTTATATTGAAAGATAGGATCACTGAGCTTATTCATCAGAAAAGCTTATATGGACTCATATAACTGAACATGTTATCCTTGATTAGCTAGTCTAAGAGTTCTTAAATGTGAGACACTGACTAGCTACATCAGAATAACCACAGATATTTATTTAAAATATCTTTTCATAGGACTCACCCCAGACCTACTGAGTCAGAATCTAGGGATGTGGCACAGAAGTCCATATGTATCATATATTTCTCATCCTTATCTGAGTTTGGGACTCCCAGCCACCCCATTTTATAAATGAGGAAATAATCCTCACATTGAGTGAATCATCCAACTTTAGATGCATACTAGTTACAGAGCTTGAGCTGTCTAGAAATTTTGATTCTTATTTTGGTGCCTTGTCCTCCTCCTCCTTTAATTGTTGTTAGAAATAGATAAGCTCCAACTTGTGAAAATCAGATAATAGGACTTCAAGATAGCTGAAGTCAATGAAGACAGTGTAAGTTCCCATCTTCCAGTGTTTTCTCCTAAAATAAGATAGTATAACACAAAAGAAAAAATAAAACTACACCAAAGCCATGTCCTTAGCATAAATTGAAGGCCAAGGATGACCAAACTTCAAAATAACTAACTAAAAAGAGAAAAAACAAAACATCAAGTCCTTTTGTGATCTCTCTTACGGTCCTTCCTCACCCAACCCTGCCACAAGGTTTTATAAAGGCAAATCAGTAAAAACCATGAGGAAGAGGAGAATTAGCAATGGGACTTAAAGTTGATCTAAAACCAACACCAGAAAGACTACATCCATCCAAAAAACAAAAATACTAAAAAATGTCCAAGTAGATCAGATTATGAACTAAAGGAAATACAAATACGCATGATTCAAAACACATAGCTTCTGGGAAAGAAAAAAGACAAAAAGAAGAGAGAAGTGCCCTTTATCAGTTGAGTTGTAAAGGACAAAATGTGTATTTATTTTAGTTCAATCAGGAGAGAGAAACTACATAGTAACTTGAGCGAGGAAAGATGATACAAAACATCATTGCCTATAACACGGAATGGGAGTAATGTGGGATTGACTAGTAATAAGTAGAAGGAAGTGTATAGAATTCAGGAATAGCAAATACAAAGTGCAGCTCCTACTCCGAGGGCTGAGAGTAAGCATCCAAAACAAAGAGTTCTCCAAATTGGACCCCAGGTCTGAGGTACTGATCTTGTTGAAGAGCGTTTGTCCGTCCTTCGTTGGATGGCAGGGAAGTTGATCTGATGCCACACTGGTAAAATTTGCTGAAAGTCTGCCCTCTGGAACTTGGTGAAAATCTGCCCTCTGGGGTACCAGAGAAAGCTATTTACTGGGGGTGTCTCACCAGACACACACTGTACAAAATTTCTGGGTAGTGGGGATTGGCCAGGAAAGCAGTTGATTGCTGCTATGTGAGACAGACCCTGAAGGTGCTGTGATGCATCTTCACTGGGGAAAGTCACACATGCTGGAGAAGCTTACCAAACTATTCACTGGAACCCAAAGCAGAGCACTTTTCTCCTATTGTTTGTTCCCAGTGCACTCTACTGACAAAGCTCCAGTGCCAGCTGGCAAAGGGAAATATTTAAACGGCTTAGATCTACTTTCACAGAACAGCAAAAAGGATGACTTTGGAGCTGAAAGGCAATAAGAATAATTGCAGAGGAGCAACAGGAGAAAAAAACAATTAACTACATACAAAAAATGAGAACTATAAAATCGGTGGACGCTTATCTCCCCTGAACACAAAAACAAATAAAAATCCACCTAAGTGTTTGGACTTTGCTATTCTGACTTAAGTGGACACTAATTAAACTATGAGTCTTGTAAAGTACTACAATAACACAAACATGAACAAGAAGATATTTTAAATTCCATAAAGTATTACAGTAAAAAAATCAGAAAAGAAAACCTAATACATATAGAGATTTTCTCTAAAAAAAACATGAAGAAAACTATAAAAAAATAAACAAAAACCAACAACAACAAAAAAGAAAACTGTAAGACAAAATCCAAAATGGACTTAAATATGCTTATTCATATGAAGATACGGATAATAACCTTAAATGAGAAATTTAAAAACTAAGAAACAGGAACCACTCCTTACCCCCAGGATGGGTGAAGAAGGTGAAACGGATTAGTAAATTGCCAGTTATTAAAAAAAAGTCATAAAGATGTAAAGTACAGCATAGGGAGTAAGTCAATAATATTGTAATAACTATATGGTGTCAGATGGGTAATAGAATTATTGGGGGGGGTCACTTTGTAAGGTATGTAAATGTCTAATCACTGTGTTGTATACCTGAAACTAATACAATATTGTATGTTAACTGTAATTGAAAAATTTAAAAACATTTTTTAAAAGAAAGAAATAGACCACAAATAGCAGGGGTAGGGGCAGGGAGAAAAAAAGGAAAAGGAAAACGGGAGGAAATGAAATGAGAATTGATTGAAGTCAGGAAAGAAATGAAAGAAAAAGGTATCTCAGAATTAAATAAAATACAGAGTACACAAAGGAGAGTAGATGCAAATGAATAATAAAGGAAGGACATTGAATAAAATCAGGGGAAAAGCTTCAAGAGAAAAAAAATAGATATCATTTAAAAGGACTAGAGAAAAAGTAGTGCGAATGGGAGGCAGACAGAGAAGGACTAGGATTTCTATTGTTAGAATTCCTGAAGAAGAAAAACAAAGCAATACCAGTTAAAACTGAGAAACTTGTTAGCAAAAGGTTAAATAGGAAAACAGGGCCTAAGAGCATTTAAAAAGGTATGTCCATAGGTGACTGCTAGAACAAAAAGGCAGACCTTCCAAAATGCCATAAGAAAATTGATAAAGTGCAAATATAACAAAATATACATAATTATAAAATACTATGACAGAGGTGAGGCCAAATATATCAGTCATAACAATAAATGTACATAGATTTACCTTATTAAAGAAAAAGATTTTCAGTTTGGTTTCTGTAGCTGTAATTAAGCTACTATAAGTGACACACCTAAAACAAACAGTGTTTTAGAAAGGGATGGAAAAAGATACACCAGGAAAAAATGGAAACAGTAAGAAGAGAATAATGATCCTGATGTCTGACAATGTAGAATTCAAGACCAAGACCAAAAAGCATAAAAAGTTGTAAAGATGAAAGGGTACTTTTTAATGCTAAGTGTCAAAGTTCACAAGAGGGACACAGTTTTTATTAATATTTAGTCACCAGAATTACAAGTCATTTTTAGGAAGCAACAACTATAGGAGATACAAGGAGGCATAGACAGAAACACACTAGTAATTGGAGATTTTAATATACAGCTAACTCAGTTCAAACATATCAAGTGAACAAAAAATAAGAAATAGAAGACAAACAACATGATTAATAAGGTAGATCCTATGTATATTTTTCAAATTACCCTGATGATAGAGATTGCAAACATCTGCACAAGTACCCCAGGAACTTTCACAAAAATTCATCAGTTATTAAGGCCTGGCCAGGTAGCTCACTTGGTAAGAGCATCATCCCAATACACCAAGGTTACAAGTTTGATCTCTGGTCAGGGCACATACAAGAATCAACCAATGCATGCATAAATAAGTGGAACAATAAATTGATGTTTCTTTCCCCCTTCTTCTCTCTAAAGTCAGTGAATTAAAAAATTGATCAGTTACTAAACCATTTAGAAAAAAATATCAGTTCCATAATAAAACAGAAATATTTACACTATCTGATCACACTGCAATAGAACTAGAAATTACTAACAAAAATGTCAATGGCCCTTCCACCTGGAAACTTAAAAACCTATTAAACTATTCTTGTGTGAAAGGGAAAATACAAACTGGAGTTATAGGGAAAATAATGATAATTAGTATACTACATCTATAGGATGTATATTATCTATGGGATACATTTAAAGCCAATATCAGAGGAAAATTGATGATATTAAACAAGGAGGTACATAATGTCAGTGCATCTTATTACTGATAACGTTGATAATCTGGTTAAGGTCTCAGTAGCCAGATTTCTGCACTATAAAGTTACTGTTTTTCTCTTTGTAAGTAATAAATATTTTGTGGGAAGATACTTTCAAACTATCCATGATATTTTTCATGAATTTTTTTTCATGATATTTTTGCCCACCAATTTATCCATCTGTGAATCTTGCCTGCACAGTAGTAGGCCCACGCTGCTTCCCTCACAGGTGTTGTGTGACAGGCTATCCCCATGAGCAAGCAAGGAGGTGGAGGCTGGCCAGAAGGCTGAGTAGGAACTTACTGCCTGGGCATTTAACTTGGTCTAGTTTTTCCTGTCAGGGCCCTAGCATGGTATTTACAAGTTGAAGGACCTTTGAAAAGGGAAACTGAAAATTGTATAATACATATTAGCCCACAGCTTAAAGATTGCATGGAATTTATACTAGCTGAACTGGGGGGAGAAAAAAAAAGAATTAGGCCCACAAGTCTACCATTTTCTATCTGGTCCTTTAAGAAAAAGTTTGCTGACCTCTGAATTCTGTTTATAAATGGTATGGGAGAATAGCTGGAAAGCCTTAGAGAATCAGTGTTAAAAAGAAAAATAAATGATAATGTATGTCCCACAACTCTAAATTTCTTAGTAGGAGAAAGTAAGTTCAGAAGGTAGGAGGATGCTTTAGATCAGGAGTCAGCAAACGTTATCCGTAAAGGACCAGATAAATATTTGTGGGCCCTGCTGTCTCTGTCTCCATTATCGCTGCTATTGCAGTGCTAAAGCAGCCATAGGCGGAAACGATTGCGTGTGACCATGTGCCATAACACTGTATTAACAAGAAATAGGTGAATAGGCCAGATTTGGCTCACAAGTCCTACTTCGCCAGGCCCTGACTTAGATTATGGGGAAGGAACTACAAAAAGGATGTCCATTCTTACTAGTTTTCTAGTTCTCCCATACACCTCCTTACTTTTTTCCCTAATCTGCTTCTATAATTTATACCTTGCCTGCAAACACAGACTATGTGCTAAAAATGCACCCACGTGTCCTTTCATACTCATTCTTATTCCTTAACATAACTTATCTGGAAAGGAATTCTTTCTGTATCTCAAATCCAGATTTAGATCAGAGTTTTAGGAAAAAATAATGTAAGGAGTAAAAATGGGAGAATAAACGCAGAGAGGAACCTGAGATAGGTGGAAGACAGCGCGTGTGCTAAAGATGCAAGAATTCCTTGAAGTGTGTGGTGTGGTATACTGAAGTGCAAGAGATACAAGGGCAACTAAGATAGAGTAAAAATAGAAGCTGTTTCATAGGTGGAGGTATGGTTTGTCTCCTGAGGAATGGAAGAAGAAAATGCCAAGGAACTAGGGTAGTTGTGAAGAAACAGATTAGTTGCTAGGCATGAGGAAAAAGGATTGGAAGAACACTGAATGATTAAAATGGAGGAAAATGTGGGACTAGTAGACTGACCTTTCTGAACTCAAATATTTATCCTTTTGCCAGTTCCTCTCCTCAGGAATAGAAGGAATTCTTTCTATAAACATTTGGACTACTATGTAACACACATATGTTAGTGTCCATTGTAATTCCTTGCATCAATAAATAAAGAATTGATACCTGAAAAATCTTCTAATAGCCAATTTATTTCTGAACTTTTATAATAAATCCTTTCATTTGAACTAGTTTAGGCCAAACTACCATTTAAAAATGTTCTTATAAGGTACTGCTTTACAAAGGCTTTAAATTTTTTTTTTCCCCTGGGAGCCATGATCAGTACTTTTCTAGATTATTTACCTCTAACCTATTGATAAAGAGGTTCATCTTCTAGCATTGACCTTGGTAGGGAGAGGTGGTGTAGGGAAGGTCATCAAATCAGGGGAAACAAATCCCTGAAAATGACTGATCTGTGTTCTCACAGCATGATATATTTATGACACTTAGGCCAGGGTGTACCTGTTAAGAGTGGAGTGGTTCACTGAGAAGATGCCTATTTTATCACTCATAATAATTGTATCAGTATAATCCACTGAAGGTTGGTTTTTCTACTTTTAAACATTCCAGCCCTGGCTGGTGTGGCTCAGTGGATTGAGTGCTGGCCTGCAAACCAAAGGGTCAGTAGTTCGAGTCCCAGTCAGGGCACATGCAGGCCAGGTCCCCATTGGGGGGCACATTAGAGGCAACCACACATTGATGTTTTTCTTCCTCTCTTTCTCCCCCCCTTCCCCTCTTTCTAAAAATAAATAAATAAAATCTTTAAAAAGAAAAGTCCAGGCCTCTTCTAAGAAAAAGTCTCATTTTGTGCTAATATTGCATTCAGTCAGCAATATTCCAAAAAATTGAGTATAGTGTAGAGTTATGGAACATTAGAGCTGGCATATAGAACATTAGAGGGACCTGATCACTTAGTGAGTGATAACAGAACTAGGAAAGCCCCTCATGGGCCAGAAGTCTAAGAGAGAGATGACCAACCATGGTAATAGGACATGAGTTACTTTGAAAGAAATATATAGACAGAGTTCCAGTTTATATTTTCTGTATTGTTCCTGGTCAGTTCATGCAAAATGTATGAACTGTGCAATTGCAAATTTTCTAATTTCCTTTAGAAGGCAAGAATTTCCCCTAGGGTCTTACATGGAGTAGGTACTTAGTAAGAACTCTGTAAATGAAAAAACAAATGCACATTTCACACTATTAAAAAATATAACTTATAATACCTGCTTATATCATTATGATTCTTAACATATTCCTATTTATAGTTTTTGTTATCCTCTAAGAAAATGGGTAAAGAACAGAAAATACAAAAATTGACAAAGACTTGTTGGACAATAGACCAAGTGTTTCTAACTTTTTAAGTAATTGTTAAATCAGTGAGTTAATGTGTTAGTATTTTTATTTTTAAATCAGGTTGAAAATTCTGTTGATCAAAATGTAGAAGTTTTATTTTGTAAAACAAAATAAATAAAACAACCTGTTTCCAAGGTTTTTGGTTTTGTTTTGTTTTAGTCTCTTAATGATAGACTTCATTGTTTAATTCTAGAAACAAAATGTAAAATAGTCTCATGTAATTTTCGATTCTGGTGTTTTTAAGTTCTACCTTTTCTTCATTTCCCCTCATTTTTAGAATTGCCAATGCCACTCCCATCCCAGGGGACTTGCTTCGAGAAAATACAGATGAAGTGTTTCCAGATGAACAGCTTAGTGATGGGGAGAATGGAATTCCTGTTGGTATGTCACCAGATAAATTGCCTGGATCTCTGGGACACCCTCGTCCCCAGGAGAAGGATGTCTGGGAAGAGATGGATGCCAACAGGAACAAGATAAAGCTTGGAATTTGTAAGGTGTGTATTTCTTGCATCATAAGTGGTAACTGTCTCTGTGTTTATTATTTCAAAGTATAATGATTCTCAATTTTGAATGAGAAGTGACAGAACATTATATTGCTAGTTATTTCTATATTTGTAATTGCAATATTTTAGCTAATTTTGTCCACAACATTGAAGTATGGACACCAAACATTAATCTTCATCTTGTATTTTCTTGAAAAGATAAAGATATTTAAAAAAAATAACCAGACATTGAAACGAAAAGATTTCTGTAGGGCAGAAGTTAATAGTCTTTCTGAATAATGTGACAAGATCCTGGGCTTCTTTGGTATGGATCAAGGGAGCTCTGAGGACCCATTTGGAAAACTGTCTCAAATGGAGGGGGAGAAGTGAGAGTTGGAAATGGGAAGCATCAAACCAATGGTTTATAAGTTGACGAAGTGGATGTTGAACAAATGACATGAGTTTTTCTTCATTAGGATTGCAAGCAGGTTCACCTGTAAGTATGGGGGGAGAGAATAGATTTCTGAATTAAATGATTAATTTTTAGTAATCTTGGGGCAGATTTTCCCTAAATTTCTCTCTGATCTTACTGTTCCTTTTTTCCATTTTCATAGAAGATCAAATGAAGATAAATGGTATGAAGGGACAAGAAATTAGAAATGAGTTAGTTTTTGTGCTTCCTATGTGTTTATGAGGTGTTGCAAAGGAGGTTAAGTTTATAGGTGTGTAAAATGAGACTTTGGGCTCATAACCTGTTAATATGATTGATGGAAAGTTGGCTAGTCATGTTGTATGAATGGGGAATATATCTTGAAAAGAATCACTTCTGAGGAACTTTTGGCCCATCTTTGGACAATATATACTACATTATTAAACTATATAATTTCAAAAATTAACAGTATATACTCAGTCATGGTAGTCATTTGCAGAAGCATTCTGTGCATAGACGTGATAAGATGCATTGTGGTCCGGCTACTAAAAAAGCAGTATTCAGACTAATAGTACTTAGGACTAAGTAGTGAAAAAGTTGTCAGAAGGTCAGTGTCAGATTTTTGGAATGTCAAATGTGGCTGGCTGTATGGTACCAGGAGCAAACTATTGGTATGGTAAAAAAAAAAAAAAAAAAAAAAAAAAAAAGCCTCTAGTTGCAAGCCCTTATGGGAGTCTGTGTATGTGAGAGAGTGAAATAGCACTTGGCATAGATCTTAATTATTTACTTTTCTTTCCCCATTATCACTATTTAATCTCTGTTAATTCTCTTCTATTTTTTAATTCCTTTTAAAAAAGGTATTCAGATTATAAGTGTTGTTCTTTCATACAAGTAATGTTTACATGATTTTTTTTTTAATGTTTACCATTTTCTTGCAATTTTGGAATTCCTGGACTCATCTTTTTTCCTGAAATATTTCCTTTAAAGGTTCTTTTAGTTGAGGTCATTTGGTAAAGGACTATTTCAATTTTCACTTAGCAGTAAATGTATTTATTCAGCCTCATTCTTTAAAGATAGTTTATGCTAGATTCAAAGTTTTTGATCAGCAGCTATTCTTCCTCTTGCTTCATCTATTGGTATCAAAAGTCTGCTGTTTTTCTAATTTTTTTCCTTTGTTGTTGATCATTCCACCTATCCATCTTCCGCAACTACTTTTCTCCTTGCCTTCAGCGTTCTGCATTTTAATTACAATTATGTTTAGGCATATATTTTCTTCTGTTTATCCTGTTTAGGATATCTTATATTTTCTGAACCTTTGATTCATTTTTTTTAAATCAGTTCTAGGAGATACACAGCCATTTTCTAGATAAATATTGCCACCTCTTCATTCTTTCTGTTCTGTCTTTCTGGGATTCCAATTAAACATCTACTATGCCTTTCTATTCTATCTGTCATATCTCTTAATATCTTTTTTCATATTTTTCTCACCTTGCTGTGCGTCATTCTAGGTAATTTTTCTGTGTTTTCTAATACATTAATAACTTTGGCCTTTATGGCTAATTTGTTTAACTTGTTAATTGAACATTTAATATTAAATTCATCAGTTAATTCCAGATAATTCTTTGTTGATCTTTGTGATAATGACCATTTATTTAAACATTTTATGCATAGCTGTTCTGTATTCTGTATTAGAGCAAGTTTGATAGCTGGAGTTTTGGGGAACTTTACATTTAAAAAAATGATCACGTCTCCTGACCCTTAATCATGGTAGCATGCTTCTCATGTGTTTGACCATCTTTAATGTTTTACTCTTTAATTAATAATCTATAGACTTAAATTGGGGGAGCGGAGAAACCTTCTTCAAAGAAGAATGTCTTTTGCTTCTGCTCTTAGCCAAAAGTATACCCCCTCTTTAATACCAGTTGGGCATCTTCTTGAGAGTCTTTACTCAAAAAAGATGTTCCAACTTCCCTCCCTCATCCCCCTACTGGTGTAAGTCTTAATTTCCCTGATAATTGCACTGCTGTAGGCATCTGTACTTAGGTAGTCCCACCCTTCTGCACTGCCTATGCTCAGCCACCTCCTGCTCTATACAGCTTCTCGTTGTTGTTTGCGTTTTAGGGAGGGAATGCAGCAAGGGATATTGAGGCTTGGCAACCTCTCCTACCACCTGTGAAACCACTTGTCTCAGAGAGAATGTCCTTTCCAAGTTTTAGTTTAGTGGATTGAGTCCGGGAAGCTTCTAATTAGACATCATACGAAAAGCAAAGATTGTTAAACGTTTTTAGGCTGTTTATCTTTGTACCAAAAATATAAAAATTAAAATAATACTGAAACTGAGAACAAGTTAATAAAACTCACTTAATAAAGGGTTAATAGACAAGTGTGTAAACTAGCCAAAATGTCCCAATCTTCTAGGAACACATCACAATCATTTGCTTATATTTTATTGAAAGACTCATGATTACCACCACGTATAGTAACTGGAATGTTTTTCATGGTTTTCTTTTATATTTTGCGTAGGCTGCTACTGAAGAGGAGAATAGCCATGGTCAAGCAAATGGTATTCTAAATGCTCCAAGCCTTGGTTCACCGATTCGTGTCCGCTCAGAGATTACTCAGCCAGACAGAGATGTCCCGTTGATGCGAAAGTTACGTTCTATCCACAGTTTTGAGTTGGAAAAACGTCTGACACTGGAGCCAAAGCCAGACACTGACAAGTTTCTTGAGACCTGGTATAAAATCGTTTATCCTCTTTTTTTTTAAAGTTACTGAGATGTTATTTTAAATTTTTATTTATTTATTTCTAATGTGTAAAGTCTTTCAAGTAAGAAGTTCTTGTAGCACTGATTGGATTAAGCTCTCATCTTCATCCATGTTTTTAATTTTCATCCTGATCTTTGATGGGAATTGTCTCCTAATATTGTTACAAGTTCAATAACATAGCCTTTGGCTTTGGAAGCTGAGCAGTGGGAGCTGGTAACTTCATAATGCTAGATATAAGTCAGATGAACATTTTGAAGTGATTTTGTTTGTAAGGAAATTGCTTTTATTTGGAATGGAGAAGGTGCAATGTAGAGTTGGAGAAGGCATTAAGCAGGAAGTAGTACCTGAAAGAGATAAAAAAGTAAATTTATACACAGTGACAGGCGAGTCAACTCATTTTAATGAAGGCCTTCTATGAATAAGTGTTGTAGGAAAAATGGACATGAGTAAGTTTATCATTCTACCTAGAAAGGAAAGACAGAACTTTAGCAAGCTCACAGTCTACTTTGAGAGAAGGGAAAGTAGAACTTAGAGAGTCATACACTGGTAATAATTGCAGTTCATGGCTTTGAGGCCATTATCCTCAAATTTTTAAAAATAATTTGGGACATATTTATAAATTATAGGCGACTTCAATAATATTAAGACCTAAGTGACTTCAATAATAGTCACACTCTTCAGTGTATGTCCTCGGTGGCTACTATTTGCAGTGTATTATTAGGTTAAAAGGACCGTGTATTTGACATGGTAGTTACTATGTTCAAAGGCAGTTCAGCCACTCTGTCCTAGTTCAGTCTGGCTTCCATTTTAAATAGTCCTTCATATATGTGTATTCTTATGATAGTGATAATCACATGTTAATTCGATCTCACAGCTTTGTGATGTAAGCATGTGTCTATATGTTAGTGTGATCAAAAGGATGGACTAGGGTTGGAGAAGTATTTAAACATTTTGAGTTGTGGCAAAGATTGGGAATAAATATAAAGGTACAATAGGGATAAAAACTTAGTTTGGTAAAGAATTAGTCAAACAAAAGAATGGAACTTTTTAAAAAGAGAGTCCATGCTAAGGGAAGAGCTAAAAAATAAAACAGAGTTAAGAATAGAAGTAATCCAAGAAAATAAACTCAAGCTAGAACCTAGAATGAATAGGGAATTGAAGCACCTATTTACAAACTTAAGGAAAGGGAAAAGTGTATTGCATAAACTACTTCCCTACAGTTCTCAGAAGCCAGTGCAGCCAAATACCACCAGGCACACTGTGTTGCCTGCCCCTCGAGCAGTAGAAAGATTTGTGTATACAGTGTCAACTGCCTCTTAATCCAACAAAGCAATATATATCCTGAAGCTTTCCCAATACCACCCTTACCACCGCCACCACTATATATGGAGTTTCAGGTGCTTAGTGGGCTGGGTGTGGTTGAGCATAGAGAGCACTTTCCCTGCTTCAGAACCTGCCTTTGGAGGAGTGCAATTGAATGACTATACATTTACATACATCTCTAGAGAAAAACAAATGAGGAAAGTATTCTCCTTATGTACACTAGCTTATTTATTTCCTTTTATAGGGATTCTGATGAGGCAAAAGCCGCTTGAGTAAGTTATTCTCAGTTCCTCAGAGCAGAGAGCAAAGGGCAGTGTGATTGAATTGACAAATCAAAGATGAAATAGATCATACAAGTCAACCCAATTAGGCTTCTCTCCTGCCCTGCAGCAGGAGGGACATCTTCCTCCTATGGGTTCCAACTTCCAAAACAAGATTATGACGAGTAGAGAAAAGGATTATCAAGCTGTGAAACTTTCCTAATGCTTTATCCATATTTTTCTTCTCTGATCTGTGTGTGAATATTAGTTCTGTATAGAGCTAATAGGGTATGCAGTAAATATTACCTTTGGACAATTGAGTGACTTTTCTCTGTTTTCTTAAGCCTGGAGAAAATGCAGAAAGATCCCAGTGCGGGAAAGGAATCTGTTCTTCCTGCTCTGCTTCATAAGCCTTGTGTTCCTGCTGGGGCGCGTACTGACCACATCTGGAACTATGATGAAGAATATCTTCCAGATGCTTCTAAGCCTGCCTCTGCCAACACCCCTGAACAGGCAGATGGCGGTGGCAGCAATGGATTTATAGCTGTTAACTTGAGTTCTTGCAAACAGGAAGTTGATTCCAAAGAATGGGTGATTGTGGACAAGGAGCAGGACCTTCGGGATTTTAGGACAAATGAGGCTTTAGGCCATAAAACAGTGGGGAGCCCTTCTGATGAGGAGCCTGAAGTACTTCAAGTCCTAGAAGAGCCACCTCAAGATGAAAAGCTCCAACTGAACCCTTGGGTAGAAAATGTTCATTTAAAGGAGGAAAACTCAGGTGTGATCTTAGCACTTTCTGGGGAGTGCCCTGCCACTGCTGCTTTAGATCAATATACAGATAGATTAGAACTCCAGGCTGGAGCTGCTAGTCAATTTATGGCAGCAACACCCACAAGTCTAATGGAGGCACAAGCGGAAGGACCCCTTACAGCGGTAAGAGATTTGTTCCTGTCATTTATCTCTGTTAACCACTTGAGGTGTTACTAAGAAAGGGCTAACAGTTAACCAGCAAAGGTCCTTCAGCAGAGGCCTGAGTAGGCAAATGGGTATATGGAGTGATGTCTGGACTAGCCAGTCTTCCAATATGAAGTTTCTCAAAAAACTGAGGTTTCCTGTCAGGATACCAACTCAATACACAAAATGTCATTATAACCTAATTTCAGAATAACATTTATAATTAGACCACAAGAACTATCTGTATATGATTTATAAAAAGACAAACTTGTAATTCTAGATATGTTGAACACCTACATTAGAAATATGGTGAAAAAGGTATATATTTAATCATTCATGGTTTGTACTTTATACTGTTGCTAGGTCTAATTCTTTTTTTTTCCTTTCTCTTTTGCAACCTCCACCTAGACATTTCTCATATTTTACATTCCTCTTAAGTGATAGTTTTACAGCTTTGCTGTCCATTGTTTAAAATACAGTGTCCCAGACCAAATTCCAGAACTTCTGCTTCAGTAGGTCTGGGATAGAACAAGCCCAGGAATCTGCATTTTAACAAGCAGTTGAAGGCAGTTGTGATACACGTCTTCTGCAAAGGAACGTTTTGAGGAAACTCTACTATTTACTCTCAGTTCGGGCATCCCTTTGGAGGCTCCTGTGATCCTGTTGTTTTTAGTAAAGCAGTGCAGTCCCTGTGACTGTGTGAGTGGCAGGAACTCCAGAAAAGTCAGATATGGAGGCAGTTAAGGAACTGTACACAAAACCAGCAGGTACATGTGTCCTTACATGGGTGGAAATACCAGCTTTTCCTAAATTTCATCTTCATCTAGCAACCCTCTCTTTCAGCTCACCAGAAATAACATTGTTCCCCAGGCTGAAATGTTTTTTTATTAGAACACAATTCTTCATGCAGGTATAGAACAGAAGAGGTAACAAAATTTAATTTCGTGAATAGTTTTGTACAAATTTACCTGCACTACAAAATAGGAAAATAAATGCCTACCTCTTTTTTTAAATTAGCTAGTTGGTCTTTTCTCCTTTCCCAAGACTTCTTTGTATAGTTATACAGGTTGTTTACTGAAAGCCTAGCCAAAGAAATAGTTGGGGCTGAAATCTAGCCCATATTTTGCTAGCCAAACTGTGCATCTTTGTGCAGGGCTATTTCCTCTTCGAAGAGCATTCTTTTCCAAATTGTACAAAGGTGCTCTGTGGGCTAGCGGGAGGCCCTGTCACCTCTCTCCCTTCCATGTATCCTTTTTTCCACCCCACATTTCCTTTCCATTCATTCCCTTTATCGACCTTCCCAGACTCAATTTATTTCTTTAACTCTCGATGCTACATATTCACTGATGTTCAGGTATTTTTCCAATAGCATTCATATGTGCTTTACTTTAAAAGGCTTTCTAAAGCCTTGGCTTCATCTCTTGTAGTATTTTTTGCTGTCTCCCACTGATGCTGTCCGGACCACAAAAGTTGTTCTCATGGCTCTCTTACATTGTCTACATCATTTTCTTTATCACGTTGTTGAAAGATTTGTATTTATATATTTAATATTATAAGTTTGACCTTTTTCAAATATTTTTAAATAAAAATATTTTTTTAACTAAAGGTCTCTAAAGAAATGTTAGCTGCATCACTTTTTTATTTATGTCTAAGGTATTTACCATTTCCTTCATTTGGGGGGCTTGGGATAAAAATATACTTATCTTGATTCTCTTGTTGAGGCTTAAATTCAGAGTTTATTTTTGCAAAGCAGATGTTATCACTTCCTTAACTTATTACAGGCACATTGAGTTCTGCCAAGTAGTTTCTCCAGATCTCTTGCAGCTCTGATTATATGGTCGAGGCTGGATAATATGATAAACTATATTTGGTTTACAGGATGATGCTCCAACCAAGTGAGCCACACTGGCCAGTGTGAACTTCAGCACTCTTGAGTTCTCTATTTCTTAGTACTGACTTGTGATCCTTGTTTAGGACTTCTTTTATCCATATATGTGAAATCACTGATTATCAAATAGCATGTATAAATTTTTTAGATAATATATTTTGAAAGATGGATAAATTTGCCAGATTGAAAAGAAGTTGGTTTGGGGCTATTTTTACAAATTAGATTTTCCCCCAGGGTAAACAGTGATGAGGTTGGTCCACTATCAGTCATTTCCAAAATGATGCTTATCAATATGGTAAAATAAAACCAAGTATTGGCTTATATTAAATTCTGTTTTCATTAACAAATGGAGAGACAAAATCAAGCTGACATAAATGAACAAGTACAGAGAAGAAAAAGTAACTTAAACTGTTTCCAAAAGAGATTTAACCTCTGTTCCAGAATGGTAGTAACTAGAGGAAGAATGTGACCTGTTTTATATGGCTTTGGTAATCACTCTTGGTAGGGAGAAGGTTGTACTTGAACAGTACTATAGAAATGGAAGGGTTTTCCTTACAGAATATTACAGCAGATTGTAGCACATGATCTCTTTATTCTAGATAGTTCTTTAGAAAGCCAATACTTTATTATTATTACCTTTGAAAATAGTATAAACGTGACTGGGAAATAATAATAGCATCTTTGTTACCTATTGCTGTATAACAAACTATCCAAAATTTATCAACTTTAGGCCACAGTTATTATTTTAACCCTGTTTCTGAGGGTTAGGAATGCAGAGGTGACTTAATCTAATGGTTCTGGCTCAGGGCCTCTCATGAGTTTACTGTCCAACAGTCAGCCAGGGTTGAATTCATTATAAGGTTTGACTGGAATGGGAAGATCCACTTCCAAGCTTAACCCAATGCTGTTGTCAGACACTAGTTTCTCACTTGACCAGAGGCTTCAGTTCCTCACCATATGGACCTCTCCATAGTTAACGTGGCAGCTGGCTTTCCCAGTGAGTGAGAAGAGAAGGAGACAGATGGAGGAGGGGGATTTTGGTAGAGATAACACTCCTCCATCAAGGTAGAAGCCACAGTATCTTTTATAACCTAATCTTAGATGAGGCATACTATCACTTTTCCCATATTCTGTTGGTCACATGGACCAGCCCTGCTACAGTGTGAAGAAAGGGACTATAGAAAGGTATGAATTCCAGGGGGCAGAGGTCATTGGGGCCGCCTTAGAGGCTGGCCACCGTATTATTTTACATATATTAAGGGTTGGGCATAAGTAGGTTTATAGTTGTGATTATGTGAAACACAGAGTTTATTCTGGTATTATTATTAATTTATTGTATTGTTGTCCATACAAACAACTGTAAACTTACTTTTGTCCAACCCTGTATTTGACAGAATACTTCTATATTTGATCCTAACTGCAACTCTGTAGAGAGAGAAGAGGAATATTTTTGTTCCTTTTTACACTGATGGCACCAAGCCTCAGGACAGAGAGATCATTTGTAAAGAGTAAGATGGCAGATAGATAGGACTCTGTGTTATGTTCCTCACACCAGGGGACTGTCAACATACTGAAAGACTTTCCTCATTTTCTTGTTTCTTAGACATTGAAAAGGAAAAAGGCGGGGGTATAATAATACACAAAGAGGGAGCAGGGCAAAAAGAAAAATAAATTTTTTTGTATTCTGTTAGAATCCATTAAGAAGATCTCTCTGACTACATTTGCATGAGTACCAATACCAGTACTATAAAATTCAGTTTAGCAGTTGATTGCATTGCCTCAATTTTCTTCTTTTTATTCCTTCAGTTTTAAGTTTCTGCTAAGTTCCAAACTATGCTATATCTCAGGGATACACTATACCTGAGGGATGAACAGTTGGCACAGACCTGTCAGGTTGTCAGTGAAGGGTTGCATCTAAACAACATGGAGTGGATTGTAGTTCAGCTGTGTACACAAATGAGGACACAGACAAATTTGCCTTGGACTGAGGATTGCGATATTGGGTGTTTTTATTTTCTAATCTTTAGGTTTTTTTTATTTTTTTATTTTTTACACATGGTGAATATTCATTACTTTCATAAGTGAGGAGGAAAGAAAAAATCTTTCTAGGAAGGTTAAGGGGCACTTCAAAAATAATAGGACTTTGAAGGATGATTAAGTTCACTGGAGGGAGATGTAAGGTGTCAAGCAAAGAACACAGCATATGCAAAAGCACAGAGGCTTAAAACACGAGTTCAGAGTATTTACATAAGTGATCGGGAAAGTTAAGGCAAAGAAAAGACACTGAAGCAAGCCACAAAAGGTAAGGTTTGATAAAGGATCTTGGCCTGAAGTAGCTGTGCTAAGATTGCGAGTGGAGAGGAACCTGCTCTTTGGGAGCCCTGTAGGGGAGAATGGGCTGGGGCAGCAGCAGGCAGTGAAGAGGCTTTATCATTAGTCCAAGAAAATGTGGTGAGAGCTTGAAGTATGAAAATTGCAGTGAAGATTTGAGAGACATTTCAGTGACAACCTACTTGAAATAGTAGTTTTTCATGTGGCTCTCCCAGAGAGATGTGTTCCACTGAATATTTGCAGCCTTTGTATAGACTAAAATAACTGAATGAAAGCTCTTGGAGTAACTTAGAGCCTCCACTGAAAAAGGACTAATCCATGGCATGTATTAATAGATGTATACTTTACTAATGTGAAAAAGTAAAGACTTTTTGGATTGATTACCACCTAACTCCTTGAAATGGATTTTGGGGGAGAGTTGAGTGCATGTATGTTGACTAGAGAGTAGCCAAATATCCTCTGCTTGACCTGGATTTCTATTTTTGATCTGGAAAATCTGGTCATTATATTTGTAGAAAAGTTTTGTTTCTATGATATTACATCTCTGGAATTATATATGATAGTATAATTCAATCTATGAATAGTCAGAAAAGACCAAGATTGAATGGACTGAGTTGGAAAGTAAAGAAAGCCCACTTATGAAGTGTTCAAATAATAGACTGGACTGTCACTTCTTATTGGCATTTAATATCATTTTACATCTGCTTTTAACACCTAGTTACTCCCAGGTGTTAAAACATAAATTTTGAAGAGTAAGTAA